TGAGCCACCGCACCCGGCCTAGAATTTTTTTAATTACCTGAGCATCATTATTAATCCTCAAAGACTTCAAAGGACTAAAAAACAGCTTGCAGGAAAATTCTAAAATTTCCAACTCTAAAACTCCATGCTGAATCAAGAACAAAAAAGAAAGAAAAACTTACCCTCACTTTCTGCATTTATGGAACATAAGAAAACTTGGCTTTTCGTAGATTAGCTCCATTTATGACATCTCCCTTACCTTATTTGACCATTTGTACGCTTGAAGGAGTTGACTATAGAGGGGAGTTTTGTCCTGCACAGGATCCAGGCTTAACAGCCCACTGTTATGGAGAGGATGGTTCTCAGATGGCTTGCCTACCAAATTGCTCAGACGCTCCAGCTCACTGAAAAGTAAATAGATAAAGCAAGTAAACCTGAGTCCACTTAACCACCATGGTGAAGCCAGCCACAATGGTCAAAGACTGCTCTTCAAACTATAAATCAGAAGTCCCTTAAGAAGAAATACTTTTTGAAAGGTAAAAAAAATTAGGGACATTAAAAAAAAACACACACACACAAAAATAAAACCTAAAAGGAAGCTTATCTTAATTTAAAACAGAGCTCCGTAGTACCACTACAGAGGAGGAAAAAAGTTAAGGACACTACCATCAATAAGCCTCCTTAAATCAGAATTTAACAACTCGAATCAGGTGGGGCGGGGGACCTTTCTGGAATTTTGAACTGTAGCGTAATACTGCCTCTCACGAAGGGTTTTCAGACCCACGTGCAGATCACTACATTTGGCAGAACAGCAAGTACCTGAATAAATGATGATTATTTATCATTCACATAGGGATAGATTTGTACATGATGCTTCACAGATGGTAAAACTTAACAAAACAAAGAGATAAAATAAACAAATGGAATGGGAAGACACAACCGAGGGGGCTGTGTCAAACAAACACAATTCAGTCTAGCAGGAAAACCCTGGAGAAGCTTGGGAAAGTGAGCCAACAACAAAAACACATTCCAGGAGCACGTTCCGAGGGGCCAGTCCCAAACTGCAGACAAAAGACTCTCTAGGAACAGCTTCTCATGCCACGTTCATTTTGGAATCTTCAGCCACCTCCTCTTGGCACTTCTGTACAAAGATTTAAGAAGGAAAAGGAGTAATGTCAAGATTCTTAAAGTTTCTAAAATAGTGAAGGGTTATAACATCCTGAACACTGCAAGGGGAAGCAAATTAGAGAAGAAATGGAAGCGAGGAAAGAACCACCAGTGCATTCCCTCAAACAGGGAAAGTATTAACTGGTGCTTGGCGCTGGGCCAGAGAACAGCAAGTGGATGTGGGAGTTGAGGGGCGTGTGATCTATGGCAACTACTTGGGGGAAAACAAAAAGGCACCCACGGTTTGGCCACCACCTCCTCCTCCATCCTACCTCCTCTTTCCATCTGGTTACTAAGGAGACCAAGTTAAAAAAAGGAAAAATCAAATGAGTCCAGAAATCATAGGATGACTAGCTCACCAAATGCCTTCCTCTGCTAAGGTCAGTTCTGAGAAGTAAAAGGCAAAAATCCTGAAATTCTAACATTCCTGGGAAGGACTGACTCTCTTAGGAAGGGGAAGGCAAGTTCAGGACCTAAGCAATCAAGAAGTGCCTACTATGTGCTTGGCGTTTTACAAACCTCCTCTCATTTACCTCTTACAACACAAAGTATAAGTAAAGAAGGCAAGGTAGCTTGTCAGAAAGAGAAGGAAATGCACAATCCTTAACCCTAAAGGACCCCAGATTGAGAATGTGGGCTGCGGGTTAAGCACAAGTGATTAAACTGGTTAAGAGCATGGAGATTGGGTCTCTGTTGGGGAAGGAACTGAACAGGAGCGGTGAGAGCAGGAGTGCGGGTACCGATCAGGTGGCTTTGGAGAGGGGAGGGGAAGAGGGAAAAATAGATCAAGGCCTGTTTTGTCGTGTGTGCGGGTGGGTGGGGGTGGAGCTGATGGAAGTCCAGGTTAAGGGGCGAGGAATTGTAACCAAACGGACTGGGTGCACTTATTTGGGTTTGGGGCAGCGCTGACAAGCTCCTGTTCGGACAACGGCACATTCTGATAGGCGTGATGGGGCAGAGTGCTTACAGGTGAGGAACCCGACAAGCTCAGAGAAGTGGAAGTTCGTGGGAAGAGGCCCCGCGTCAAGAAGGGGACGACCACGCAGCGGGTCGAGGACGGCGGGAGACCGCCAGGACTAGGAGGCCAAGAGAAGGGAGACGGGAAAGCGGGGATGGGGATGAGGTGTCCCTGAGGGGCAGGCAGAGTCTTGGGGAGGACGGAAAGTGAACGGGGAGCAAGGAAATGGAGAACAGCTCCCGACTGGGAAGACTCGAGCGGGGTCGGGCAGGGTCGGAGCGGGGCGGGTCCCCGACGCCGGCCCCCTTCAGCCGGTACCTACTTGAGGTCCCGGTTGACCGAATGCAAGTTGTCCTGGAAGTGCGCAATGAAGGCCTTCTCCCGGCCCTCCAGCGTCTCCTTGTTCCGCATGCCATCCTTCAGGCAGTCGAACACCCTGCTCACGCTGGAGCGTAGCGCCTGGATGGCACTGATGGCCTGGGCAAAGGCCTCCAGGTTGACTCCGACACTTAGCACATCCGCCATGTTGCCGCTGCCACAGCGAGCTCTCCACAGCCGGCTTCGCGAGCAAAAAGCCGCGCTCGCTGATGACGTTACCCCGAAGGCCTCTGGGAAATGTAGTTCGCGCAGGGCGGGGCTGCCCGGCTAGTTTGTGTGGGCACGTCTGAAGAAGGGCTTCCATTACAATCAACACGTTGTTGCCAACAAGAAATGTTTGTTTATTCCTGTGGCATAAAAATCTGTGCTTCGGGATTGGGCAAACTCGTGGAAAGCATTTTCTGCATCCTGCTGGTTGCAGAAGGGTTTTCCCTGCAAAAAGTTGTCTAGATGCCTGAAGAAGCGGTAGTCATTTGGCCAGAGGTCAGATGAATATAGCGGATGGAGCAAAACTTCATAGCCCTATTTGCTCAACTTTTTTTTTTTTTTTTTTGAGACAGAGTCTTACTCTGTTGCCCGGGCTAGAGTGAGTGCCATGGCGTCATCCTAGCTCACAGCAACCTCACACTCCTGGGCTCAAGCGATCCTATGCTTCAGCCTCCCGAGTAGCTGGGACTACAGGCATGTGCCACCATGCTCGGCTAATTTTTTCTATGTATTTTTAGTTGTCCGATTCATTTCTTTCTCTTTTTAGTAGAGACGGGGGTCTCGCTCTTGCTCAGGCTGGTCTCGAACTCCTGAGCTCAAATGATCTGCCCGCCTTGGCCTCCCAGAGTGCTAGGATTACAGGCGTGAGCCACCGGCCCGGCCTCTATTTGCTCAACTTTTGAAGTGTTGGTTGTGGGACTTACAGTCAGGCATTGTTGTGGAGGAGAATTGGGCCCTTTCTGTTGACCAATGGCTGGCTGCAGGCGCTGCAGTGTTCAGTGCAGCTCATGGATTTGCTGAGCATACTCCTCAGATGTCATGGTTTCCCAGGAATTCAGAAAGCTGTAGTGGATCATACTGGCAGCAGACCACCAAACAGTGACCATGACCTTTTTTTGGTGCAAATTTGGCTTTGGGAAGTGCTTTGGAGCTTCTTCTCAGTCCAACCACTGAGCTGGTCATTGCTGGTTGTCATATAAAATCCATTTTTTGTTGCATGTCGCAATCCAATCAAGAAATGGTTCGTTGTCGTTGAGTACAGTAAGAGAAGATGACACTTCAAAACGACAATATTTTTTATCTTCAGTCAACTCATGAGGCACCCACTCATCGAGCTTTTTCGTCTTTCTAATTTGCTTCAAATGCTGAATGACCGTAGAATAGTCCACGTCGAGTTCTTCGGCAACTTCTCCTGTACTTGTGAGAGGATCCACTCCGATGATTGTGCTCAATTGGTTGTTATCAACTTCCGGTGGCCGGCCACTGTGCTCCTTATCTTCAAGGTTCTCCTCTCCTTTGCAAAACTTCTTGAACCACCGCTGCACTCTACGTTCGTTAGCAGTTCCTGGGCCAAATGCGTTGTTGATGTTTTTAGTTGTCTCCACTGCTTTATGACCCACTTTGAACTCAAGAAAATAGCTTGAATTTGCTCTTTGTCTAACATCATTTCCATAGTCTAAAATACATATAAAATAAACAGTAAGTAATAAGTCATTAGCAAAAAAAATAAAGCCAGAAATGCACATTAAAATGATATTAACGTAACCGTATTTATTTAAGAATGTATTCCAATATCAAAGGGCAAATTTCCAAAATGCTAAAACCGCAGTTACTTTTGCATCAACTTGATAGAATGGCGACTGCCAGGGGCTGGTCTTCAGTGAAGTCCACACCTCTGAAGAGAACAAACATAGCAAAGAGGTTGTAGAAGGAAGAGGAGGTTTGGAATTTAAACAAAACCAACAAAATACTGAACAAATCTGTCTTAATGGAAGTTCTGAGACATCTTTGTCTCTATGTCCTGTCTACTATGGACAGGTTTCTGAAGATTTATTATGTTCATTACGGAAGGAAACCTACCCAAGTCCTGGTGTTTTTTCCTTGGAGGAGCCAGGTGTGCTTAGCTTGGAACAGAGAAGTTGAGAGCAGTAGGTAGGTCATGATGGTGACCTTCAACTTACCTAATGTCAACCTGGGAGAAGAATTCTTCTGGGTTATCTGGTGGCAATAACAAGAACCAGTTGCAGGGAAACTGTAGGAAGGAAACTTTCAGCCTAATATTGCAAAGGACTTTAATGGGTACAGACTTAGAAAAGTTTTGTGGATAGATGGTGGTGATGGTTACACAACAATGTGAATGAATGTACTTAATGCCACAGGACTGGACACTTAAAAATGATTGGTAAATTTTATGTTATATTTATTTTACCACAATTTTTTAAAAAAAAATTAAGTAATGTAAAAATAAGGGAAGGTGGATAGTCACTTAATAGTGACTTCACAGTAGAGAAATCTGGCAGACACCAGCTTAACCAAGAAGTCAAGGTTGGCCGGGCACAGTGGCTCATGCCTGTAATCCCAGCACTCTGGGAAGCTGAGGCGGGAGGATCACTTCAGGTCAAGAGTTTGAGACCAGCCTGAGCAAGAACAAGACCCCATCTCTACTAAAAACAGAAAAAAAAATTAGCCAGTCAACTAAAAATAGAAACAAAAAATTAGCTGGGCGTGATAGCTCACGCCTGTAGTCCCAGCTTCTCGGGAGGCTGAGGCAGGAGGATTGCTTGAGCCCAGGAGTTTGAGGTTGCAGTGAGCTAGGCTGACAACAAGACCCCATCTCTACTAAAAACAGAAAAAAAAATTAGCCAGTCAACTAAAAATAGAAACAAAAAATTAGCTGGGCGTGATAGCTCACGCCTGTAGTCCCAGCTTCTCGGGAGGCTGAGGCAGGAGGATCGCTTGAGCCCAGGAGTTTGAGGTTGCAGTGAGCTAGGCTGACGCCACGGCACTCGCTCTAGCCCCGGCAACAAAGCGAGACTCTGTCTCAAAAAAAAAAAGAAGTCAAGGTAAACACATTTGTGCCTCCTGACATGACCCACTAGAGAGAGTACAACATGACTTCTGTGATATTCCTGCCAAAAACACATAACCTGAATCTAATCAGGACATCAGTCAGACTCAAACTGAAAGACATATGACAAAATAACTGGCCAATATTTTTTTTAAAAAAAAATGTCTGTGTTGTGAAGGACAAAAAAGGCTGAGGGACTATTCCAGATTAAAGGATACTAAAGAGATGTGACAACCAAAGGCACTGCGTGATCTGAGATTGTCTTTTGCTGACTTGATTGGGACAATTGGTGAAATGCGAGTGAGGTCTGTGGATTGGTTAATAGCATTTTGTCAGTGATAATTTCATGATTTTATTTATTGTATTGTGGTTATGGAAGAAGATGTCCATGCTTTGGAGAAATATACCCTGAAGGGAGAAAAGAGCATCATAATGTCTGGGTGAAAAAGAAAATAATATGGATACGCTTATTTAGAGAGACACAGATAAAGCAAATGTGGCAAAATGTAACAGTCACGGAATCTGGGCAGAGGGTGTGCAGGAATTCTTTGTACTGTTCCTACAACTGTAAGTTTGAAATTATGTCGAAATAAATTGTTTTAAAATGGTCATTCATAAGGGGCAGAGAAAGTATAAACACAGCGTATATGGTGAGAAAAAAATCAGTGATGCCAGGCTGTGCCGATGAGGACTTTGAAATTGTGTAGTTCGCTTCAGTCCTACTTCCTTGGTAATTCCCCGCTTCCCCCGGTTGGACCGCACACCTTAATTCAACTCCTCTAAGTTCTGCAAATGTAAAGATAAATTCTGCTCAAAATCTGTGCTCTGTGAAAAATTACCTATGGGGTACAGTGTCCACCACTCGAGTGATGGGTACACCAAAAGCCCAGACTCTCCGCTACACAGTACATACATATTAATAGACCGGAATTCTACTTGTACCCCCTAAATCCATTAAAGTCAGACTTTAAAACCGGGCTCTGACAAGCAACTCGTAAACACTATTTAAATTAATAAATCGTCTTGCTCAAGAAAGCTGTTCTGTTGTCTTGAGTTTATATAGTTGCTTGCATTTCCTGACATCTACCTCACTTTTACCATGTTGCCATTTATAGCTTTTCTTAAGGGAAGGGGTGAGGATAACAGGAAACTTCTAGCTGTGGAACTTTTAACAAGTTATTGAACCTCCCTGAGCCTGTTTCCTTATCTGTAAAACAGGACCAGGAATCCTACCTACTTTCGTGAAATATCTGTGAGGTTTAATAACACCTTGCAGGTAAAGCTTTTGAAATAATGCTTGGTATGTAATAACCACCCAGAAAATCACAGCTGTAAGAAGGTGTATGTGACTTGTGCTTCTGTCCACACTGAGGATTCTCTACACAGAATCAAGCAGGGACTAGCACTTGGTCTGTAAGTTCAAGTATCTCTAATGACAGGACCCTGTTGCTAATAGCTTGCCAATGAACTGTATCCTATAATTCATGATTTTTGGTGGTCTTTTTTTTTAATCGCTTTTGGAATATATGAATTTTTTAAAGGTTTTTGTAGAAAATGTTTTTTAACTTTACAAAAGGAAAGGAAGTAAAAAAGTAGAGGAAATATCTGGATATCTGTGTTCATTGGTTTCATTTGGTTTCGGCTTTGGTTTGTCCATTCTTTCTAGGGAAAGACCAGGGACAGCAAATTCTGTTATCATGTTTATGTACCTTTTGGGGGTCCTTGAAGGATTAGAACATGTGACCCATGTTGTGTACCTTGTCCCTAGGAGGGAAAAATGTACCAGCCTATTTCTGCCCTCAACCATATGTACCCATAAACACAAGATTTTACATACAATTTCAGGGGGTTCATAGCCCCCCTAAAGCCCACACATGGACTTCTGGATAGGATCATGCTTGACCACAAACATCATCAGGGCTCCAATGCCTGGGGCTCAACAGATGCTCGCTGTAAGTTTGTGGAAGCAATGAGTTCGTGAATTATGTCATATCTGCTTTCTTAGACCCTCTCTCCAAATTATTCTATTTCTTTGTATATTCAGATCTCATCTCTCCCTCATGCTCAGTCCCTCTCCTCCTCCCTGCTCCCCTCCCCCACACAATGAGATTTTCCTTTGTCTCATTCTCT